TATTGTTGTAGTACAAACAACTGAGTAAAGGACTGGGCAAACATTCTCACGATAGCATTGGTAACCCGTGTGAAAGAACGAACTGAAAGATTACAGCACTTTCTGATCACCTGTAATGCATTGCATTCTGATCAACTTAGTCAAGTATTTCACTGAGAGGTGAATATTTAGTAGTACGAGCAGCAACAACCATTAGCATAGAACTGTAGCGTCGAAAACAAAAAAGGAGTCAAGAGGCATAAAAAACCGGGGAAACAATACCGAATAATATTCACAATTAAGAAGATATGGTCAAGGTGACAAAGCTAATGAACATGTTTTCAGTTTCCCTTTAGGCAACGTTACCCTTTACACCGACGATTTGCATGTCTTTCGGCTGCCTATCGGAATGAGAAATTAGAGGGAAGAAACGGACGGCTGGGGACAGTACCATTGCAAACATACGGAATGCAGTTAAACCGAATCCGTGAAGAAATCGAGCAGATGCACAAGGGTCACTGTAAGTGACAGTGTCATATTACTCTGTCGTTAACCAGACTTCAGGTCTATCACGTGACGTCTAATTAAGAAGCCTAAGGCGAACCAAATCTCCCTTTCAGGGATTTTACCCTCTCAAAATACGGCTTCAACGGGTCGAAAATGCATCAGGCAACACACGGGTGTTTTGATTTAAAATAATTGCATTTCTTGTCTACTGCGAAGGAAATGGTTCATGATACAGGAGCATCCTATGCGGAACCGGAGCATCGATAAACAAATCGATCGGACAAATTTGTTTTAGAAATGGATATTTTGTGTTTTTCAAATGCACTCCAGCGGACAGATCTTTGAGATAAACATTCTTCAGAAATGGAGACTTTCTTTGAGCAAAATATTGAATGAGAGCTAGCGTCACATCACATCCTTTCAACATGACAGGTTTAAGATCAACGGGTTTATGCTTTTTGAAAGCTTTTACCAAAGTTTATTGAGAACATCAAGCAAAATGATTAAAAACACTGAAGGGAGCCGGAAAATGTATGGGTAACGGGAGTGCATGTTCCTCGGTTTTGCACAATGATCACGAAGGCATGAACTGTGCGCAAAATGAGTGAATTCAACNCCAAGTTTGGCCACCAATCGATAGCATAACCGGAAGCCATTCAACACAAGAACAGCCAGAACAAAACAAAACAGCTGGGCTATTAAGCACATTGTTATCGATCGATTTAGCCAAGTATGGATATAACCAATCACTTGCGACCCCAATATGGAAAGGAACAATATGGTTTGCCAACCAAACCTTGTTATATTGAGTACTAGAGATAAAAAGCAGATAGACTTCATATTTGTAGATCCGGGATAAAACCAAACCGAAAATGCGGTGCAAAATAGAGACGAACTAATCTCACCTCGGGTAATTTGACCTCGAAATTCATGAGCCAACCTTCAAAACCAGACAAACGTCGTATCCGATCCAATNCAGTTTAAAGTGGTTTATTCCGTCGGATCCGGCGTCCTCGGAAAAGATGTTTTTGAATATACCATCATATGATTCGAAAATAAGTGTTCCATAAACCCGGACACCCTGTCTAACAAGATAAAATACACAAAATGATCGTACAATCAAATAAATTACATAAAGCAGCAAAAAGTGATACCTTTTGGCGTTCAAGGTAATAAGCGCGTCATAAGCACAATGTTTCGCGTCAACATATCAGATGCTCCGACACGTTTCCTGCTTAACTTAGATCGCCGCTTTCCATCCGAGATCGTTTCAGATGGTGATTCAATCACGACTGCTTGGCCGCATCCCCTAAACCGATGGCAGGTTTACACGTTCCAGGTCCGTGTCTTAAGTTGCCTCCCAAGCCGGTGGCTCCAGCTATAATGAGGGATGAATGTTTGTGTCGACAAAAAGGGAGATTGGAAGCAGCAGTACGTAACAAAACCATTGCGGAAGATGGCATCGGAGCAGCTCTGGTAGTTTTTGATCCTAGAAAGCCCATAACTATAAACGACCATTATTCGGTGTAGGCAACACTGTGGGTTGAATTCATCCGTCTTCGACTCCTAAAGGCTGAGTATTTTAGAACTGTTCAGAACACCGAGTTATATCCACAAACCGTTACGTGATTATAGCTGCAAGAATGCTCATCTTTCACCGTTTAATCCTGTTTTTCGCTTGGTTATTGATAAGTAAGGGAGATAGTTAACTGATGGATGTTCGATCAGGTTACCACTAACACAGCCGTTAGAAACCTGGAAGTGCACAAGAAGAAAACACCGTTTCGATGTTTACTTCAAATTCAACCTTCTTTTTTTGAGGGAGGTGGTAATGATGTCGAGAATCAACTGAATAGTGGTAACTCAGCCTTTTAGTACTACTATGATGTCCCTAAACTACAAGTCGGAGATAAGCACATACACCGTGACAGTTAACTACTTCATTCACTTCTAATCAATCAATCGTGTAATGAAAGAATCCGTGCAAAAGGTTTTGAGCGATCTATTCAGCCATGAATCAGTTTTTCCATTGCACGAATTATTTTAAGTTAGCTGTGTGCATGAAAAAGTAGCGTTTTACTTCAACTCTAGACAATACGCTTTGTACAGATCATTTTAATAAAAACAGATCAAAAGACTAACCGGTGAGCCAAATTGATCCATGTGATTGGAGGCAAAGTGATGAAATGATGACTGAAGTAAATGAATATGTCAATTAAATGCCATCGTGTAAATCGAAAGGCTGGGAAAACGTCCGTCATCCCGAACTCCCGATCAGCATCCAAATATCCCCCAGCCATATCATGGCAATAGATAATAGTTGGGCATTTTTGTAGAGTTTCATAGCTTCTGCCACAATCTTAATCAATGGGCAGAGAATGAGAGCGACAAATTACCATCAAAAAGCACTTTGCATTCAGCCAAGGGAATTAACTGTTCAAGAATTTCTAGATTTGGCTTCCATTTGGTTAGTTCGCACAAATCTTTGATAGGAGCCGCTGGTTTCATAAAGGGGAGGACTGTAAAGAATCTAGACATTAGAGAGTAAAAGAAAATTAAAACCCGTTGAAACAAATTGAAACCAACCGGCAACACATTTTGCGAAATAGCCTGCAGGTACACTGGTGTTCTGATCTCTTAAGTCCATAGTTCCCTCTTGCTTACCCCTTTATATTTGAGCTTGTTCCCATTTATTAAATAGTTGTGCCATTTGAGTGATACAATCAGGAAACTAACCTACACAACGCTTATAGAAATTATAGAAATGATTCATAAATAGACTTGTTCATAAGACCCTGATCAAGCAAATACACTCAACGTTACAAGTGGGAAAATCAAAAATTTACAACTTGGGTAGAAGCATATGAACGACCTAATAAAAGACCACCAGATGCGGAGGCCTTGAAAGGGACCAGAACCGCAAAAAAGGTTGTGTTTCCATTACCATGACGATGACTGAGGATGAGGAAACACAACCAGTTTTGCGGTTCTGGTCCAGGGAAATTCAGTCTAGTCATTCAGATACTACTTATTGTAGAGGTGGCGCTAACCCAGTGCTTTAGTCACTGCCACCGGTGGACTACTAAAACAGAGAAACTGAGATGCACGAACGCCACGGTCTGCGAGACCCAGCCATATCATTCAGTGTGTCTAACCATCGGTTACGACCATCCCGAGGTCCCCATCCAGGGAGTCTAACGGGGCCTATGTGACCTAGTCTCCTAGTAAGGGTTATCATACCCTCATGCAAGGTCTTAGCTTGATCACCCTGGGCTTTATTCCACCCACTACTTGCCTCAGCAAACATCGCTCCCCGCGGCAACCTATTTAGTGACATACGTAACACATGTCCCAACCAACGTAATCTATGGAGGTCGATCACTTGCTCTAGTGGACGACCGCGGTATCCTAAAAACTTTTCGCCTGAACTCAGCATTGCTAGTCCGGCTGCCCCACCAGACACGTGTAATGCTGCGTAGATAGCGATGTTAGAACACCGTTAATCTATTTTTATCCTGTTCCCTTAGTGGCCAAGTTTCTGCTCCATATAGCACAACTGGCCGAACTGCTGCAGCATACACTCGACCCTTCACAGACAGTCGGATGTCGCGACGGCGCCACAAATGTCCCAAGTTGGCAAATCCCAATCGAGCCTTTTGTATGCGCGCCGACACTTCATCTGTGATGCGTCCGCCGGGTGAGATATAGCTACCCAGATAGCAAAATTTGTCTACTTCCTCTACTACTTCCCCAGTTAGGGTGAGACTGGGCGCTGGATCAA